GTGCTTTTCCAATCCATATTCTAGGTTTCAATATTCTTCCAGGTCTAATATTCCACGTGCTTAGAGATCTCCTTGAACTTACACATTTCATTGGCACTTGGATCTTCCGGCTTCCAATCCTATGAACTGTTTCAGGAGGGAAAGCTCAGTCCCATTTCCTACCCTACTTCCTGTCTATTCGGAAGTCTAAATTTGAACGGAATTAAAGTTGTGTTTAAAATTAATCCTCTAATTATTCTTATGCATTCAATTTGCAGCACCAAATTCTGAACCTGTACATCTGTCCACTAATTAAAAGAGAAAACGGATCCTGGGCAACTAATTCTATGCATTATTGCAACCAAGTCAAGGAAATGTCAGAGGTTTTCCAGCAACGGCCTGATCACCAGGGTCAACCCGACGCTCCCAATCAGTCGGAATTCAATACCTTTACCTAGCTGACCTCGTCCTGCAATGCCTGTACGTCGGCATAATAGACGACTTTGTTAATTACGGTTCTGGATGACAGGAAACAGAAGGCCATGATTTTCTGAGTCAACACCTGCTTCCTTGAATTTTCCTCATCCTTACCAACTGCTCAGGACAGCACTAGGCCCAACAGGGCATCAAGCCTGTGAGAGACCAAAACCAGCTGGAAGGGACCAAAGGATCTTTTCAGAAAAAAGACTTAACTTAGAGACAAAAAGAACTAACAGGAAGTCAGACCTGAATGGGAATTCTGGCTCTACTGTGTGCCCCCTGGGCAGGTCACAAATCTGTCTGAGCCTCGGTTTCCCCACCTGTAAAATTGTTGAGGGAACAGGAACAAGCATTTATTAAGCACCCACTGCATTCAGATTATCTCAGTTGATCCTCACAAAAAACCTCCGGAGGTAGGCTGCTATTTATTATCCCCATTTGACAGCTGGGGAAACTGAGGCATACAGAATAATGGTGACTTCCAAGATCTTTTTTTTTAATCTCCAACCACAATCTTACAAATAGTTGATGAGCTTTATTCTATTTGTCTCATCTGGTACGTTTCACCTCATGCTCTATGGGACCCCTTCCATTGGGTCACAGCAGTGTAGACATTTTAGAGCCTCATCTTTCCCACCTGAAAAAAGGGAATAAAAATACTCCTGCCACCTATATATTAACAGGGCTATGGTGAAAATTAAAGGAGATAATGTCCAGAAAAGGGACTGATTAAACTATACAGCATTATGCAAAAAAGGCAGCAGGGGCCCCCAGTCAAGGACACGAGACATTGGGTCAGGGAACTTGGATTTGAATCCTGTCCAATTATTTTCTGCCAGCGTAGTCCTGGGCAAGTCATTTACTTTCCCTGGGCCTCAGTTTCTTTATCTGTAAAACAGGAAAAGGGGAAGGGGTTGAACCAGATGATCCCTAGGGTCTCTCCCAGCTCTCAATCTAGGCTCTTAAATATCACTGACTCCCATTACCAGTTAGTTGACTGATGAGAAGCCAAAACCTCCCTGAGAAGGCTACGCTCCCAAACTAATTTGAAAGCATTTATTAGGCAAAGCTACAGCCCTTTTGTGGGCAATGATTAACTTGACCCTACCCAGAAATACACGTCGCCTAATTCCTCTGTACCCCAAGCTAGAGTGAGCTTTTTGTTTTTTTTTTTCCCCTTGTTTTTTTAATTTAACCAAGAATTTAACATTCCAAAAGGTAGATGAAAAAGTGAAACTAGCTGCATGGTTTCCATTTATATAACTTTTATATAGCACATCAGCTATTTTCCTTTTTTCCAGATACGGGGAGGGATGCAGCTTCCTGGACTAGTATATATTCCTGTGGGAAAATAAACAGAATACTATGTCTCTCTTCTTAATATATTAGTGCCTTGTAATCCAGACCATATGATCAATAGGCTACAAAAAAATTAAATCAAACTGACAGGCTTAAGCAAAATGCGGAGAAACATTCTCCCCCCTCCAACTCCACAAAAGGCTGTGGCGTGTGGAATATCAAAATCACATGCTCTTGTGTTATTAATTTTTCTCTTGGAAGTCGAGTAAGAGCTTTCCTGCATGAATTTCTCAATTGGATGTTTACCCATCACACCAAAGGCCTTTTGAAGAGGAATTTCATGCCAAAGCTGTCAGGGTAGGCAGTAATCCTGTCCTTTGTCGGACATGTATGCTTCTGGGTACCTGGGACAAGGAGCTGCCGTTGGAGAAAGCCATTCCATTGTCCCAGTTTTCACAGAAATCCCAACCCCTGAGGCAGGGCTCCAAAAAGGCAGGTGTGCTCTTTTCCCAGCAAAAGCAGATCCCTTACACAATACAACAGGGTAGGGGAGGAAACCAGAAAGTCAAAAATAAACAAAGCCAGGTGTGAGGAGGGCAACTTTGGGATATACGAGAACACAAGCGTTAACCCACAATGTAGAAAGGTAGTACTCGGAACTGGGGATGTCCCAGCTGGAAGGGAGGGTCCAAACACTGAGGGCAGAAAATCAGAGGTGGACCGGACCTTAAGATCAGTGAGCCCAACCCCGGCATTTTCCAGATGATGAAACTGAGGCTCAGACTCACTCCACGTCCCACAGGTGGTTATTCAACAGAACATGCTCTTCACGAGTCATTTCCATCTTGCCATTGTCACAAAGGTGGTGCCCTGGGCTGCCACCTCCTACAGGCAACCTTTCCTGATTTCATCCAGCTCTGTCCCCAGAATTTTACTTTGTATATACTTTGTATCAATTTAGAGATTTGTTTCTTTCCCTGATGTGAATTCTCCTTGAGGGCAGGGGCTATCATTTTTGTTTCCCTGCTCCTAGTGCTTGACATAGTATTTGTCACACAGATAATTCATAGGATCACAGATGGAGAGCTGCAGAAGACCTCAGAAACCATCTGGTTCATTGCCCTGCATTTTACACATGGGGAAACTGAGGACCCACGGCCACAAAGATAATGTTCTTCACTGCTTCCTTTTGTTCCTCTTTCTTCCTTTTTTACTAATTTTTGTTTGTCATTGTTACAAAAGATGGCTTATTGGAGATGAAAGTTAAGGGTATAGTAGATATAGTAGATAAAAATACTAAAAGACTGCAACAATGATTTCTTTTCAAACTCCCTGCTGTCCTAGGAATATCAGAAAGGTAGGGTTTCCCCAAATCTAGTTTTTCAAAACTCCAATAAAAATCCAGGATCCCTGGAAAATCCTGCAGAAAACGAAGAGCGCGGGCCAGAGGAAAAACAATGAAACTGACACAGAAACGTGTCAAGCTGCTGCTTTCCCAAATCACCAAAGAATCCCCAGGGACAGAACAGCAACAAAGTTACAATCGAGACTCCCCCCTTCCCATAGAACTTGCAAAGTACTTTGTTCACTCGCAGCAAGGATTCTCATCCACATGGGATTCATTTGCTGGGAATTTGGGGGGGGGGGACTTCGAAGTTCCTCACTGTCGTCCCCCCTCCCCCAAAGCAAAACCAATACCCAGGTAAACACTGGGGCCCACAACGCCAGCCCCAGCAGGTTGGCAGTAAATAGTCCGAGTGTAAGGACCTACTTTCCCAGGCTGCAACCCACAGCTCCAGACAGACTCTTTTCCCCCTGAAGTTAAGGTTTTAATTTAATTGCTAATCGGCGCGCAGTGCAAGATAATAAGAGGGGCCCAGGACTTGGCCCACCGAGGCAATTCCTTTACACAGCAGTTTAACTCCTAATCGCTATTTAGCGCAAGGGGACAGAGAGAAGTTTGCCGACCTCCAGTGACCTCTCTTGCCTCATTTGCATTATTTCACCTAGAGCTGTATGGTCTTAAAGGAGCCAGGCTCCTTTTACAACTCCTGCTTACCGTCCACCCCCACCCCTCACCACAGCAACACACGCATCATGCACCCTGGGTAGCTTCAGTGGTGGCCCCAGGTAGAAGGCAGCCCCAAGGCTGGATCTGGTGGCATCTCTAGGTATCCTGCAGGAGTGGGGGGGGGGGGGTGGGGGGGTGGAATAAGAGGGGGAAGCCAGAGCACGTAGGAGATGCTGAGGGAGCCCCCTTCAATCTCCGACCTCACCCACCATTTCAATTCCTATACACAGGAGGGACAAATCCCTTTCCAAGGGAGCTGGGGTCCCAGGGCCCCACGGGTCTTTTAAAGATACTCAATTGGGAAGACAGATGTTACCCTCAGTGGTTCTCCTCTGCTTATAGAAGCTCTCGCTCTTCCCCTTACGCCTCTCAACTTTTCAATATTTCCTGCAGAGGCACCAGGCAGCTGCTAAAAAATGAGAACCGCACCCCACCAACAATTCAATCTGCTCAGGTCCTCCCCCTGGTTCTAGTCTCCCCCCACGCCTTCTCTTCCCCCAAACCTGCAAGCCGGGGGGACCGTTCCTCAGCTACAGCTCACCTCAGATCAGGGATACCCTCACTCCCATATGACAGGAGCGGTCCCGGTGGTAAACCGAGTTCCAGGTGAGATGGTGCGCCTGGCACACACTCGGGATGGGGGGCATAGAGCGTGCTTGGCTCTCCCAAGAGGGCAGGGCCAGGCCTGGGGTGTGTAGGAGAGGAGACGGCTGGCTGTGTTTACCCTGGGCCCGGAGAGACACTGGGTCATCCATTTTGCGGGTCCCGGCCCCCCCTTCCCCAGCCCCTGCTCCGGATCACGGGGGCAGCAGCCTGCTCCTTCCCACTGGCCATCACCTCCTCCTCCAGTGTCCCCGGGCACGGAGCTGGCACTTGCAAAACTCCCGTCCCAACACTGCGGGGTCTCTGAGCTCCAGCCACAGGCACAGCTGCTGCAGTCGAGCCCCGAGCCCCTACCTTGCAGCGTGGGGCAGCTATGGCACGGCACACCCCCAGCCCGTCAAGTGGCGCAGAGCAGGGGAGCCCTGAGCTGGGCCGGGGCCGGGAGGAGTTAGGAGCCGGGGCGCGCGGAGTTGGCCGGGCAGGGACGGGACGCAGGTTCTGTGGGTAGGGGTGGGGGCTGGCGGACGCAGGGGCAGGAGCCGAGGGCCCGGCTCGGCAGCTCGCTCACCCATGAAAAGGCAGAAGAGGTCGAGGCAGATGAGCAGCACCCGCTTGCGGCCGCCCTTTCTGGGGTTGTTGTTCAAGGCCGGGCTGCCCCCGTTCTTGCTCTCGGGCGGGATCGCCTTGTCGTACTTGTAGTTCTGCATGGTGTTTGGGACGCGCTCCGGGGCTCCGAGTCCAGCACCCGCCTCCAGTCAGTGCCCGCGAGCCGGGAGGCAGGCACCAGAGTCCGGGGCTCGGCTCCCCGCCGCCGCCGCCGCCGCCGCCGCCGAGAGGCGAGGAAGCTTCTCCCGGGCCCGCGGAAGGCGAGAGGCAGTCGGGCCGGCAGCGGGCTGGGGGCCGGCGGTTCGCTCCTCCTGGCTGTCTCCTTTCGTCCTCCCCAGCCCTGAGAGGTCCGCGGCTGGGAGGAGGCTGGGGGCGGGGGGGGAAGCAACCCAACCAACAAACTTTTCGCAAAACTACGGCTCGTCCAAATCCCGGAGCTGTGCGTGTGCGTGCGAGTGCGCGGTGTGTTTGTGTGTGCGTGTGTGCGCGCGTGTACCGCGCTCCCGGCAGCTGGATCCTTAATGAATGGAAGCCCAGGGCGAGCAGAGTGATCGCGGAGGTCGCGCTCCGACAGTCGGTCAGTCCCAGAGGGGCTGCGCCCGCGGCTGAAGCTGCCTCGGATACACTGCGATCGCCTCGGTGGTTTTCGGCACTTTTATTTCACCATCGCCTTCTCCAGCCCCCCCTTCTCTCTCTCTCTCTCTCTCTCTCTCTCTCTCTCTCTCTCTCTCTCTCTCTCTCTCTCTCTCTCTCTCTCTCTCTCTCTCTCTCTCTCTCTCTCTCTCTCTCTCTCTCTCTCTCTCTCTCTCTCTCTCTCTCTTTTTTTAAAGAGAGACCTCCTCACTTGGCTCTGATGGGATTTCGAAAGCACAACCCCTTCCTTAAGCTGCCTAAGACGTAGGATAATTAAGGCCACATTTCCCCCCACCCCCTTTCCTTAAATAAATAAATAAATAAATAAGAGGCTCCGAAAAGGAAAAGTTTTCTCTAGTTGGGATCCGGGAGCCCCTAGCGTTCAGAATGGCGAAGGCTACCCGGAGCTCAGAAGGTCGGGGGGGGCGGGGCAGGGAAAAGACACAAACAGAATTCTGGCGGCCGTGGGGTGGGGATGAAATCGGGGGTGTCCTTTTAAACCTTCACGTGACGCCCTTTCTTACTAGCTCTTTGGCCTGGGGGGCCTGGGATACCTGGAGAACCCCCTGGAGAACGCCTGCAACCCTGCTCAGCACTGTAAGGGGCACAGAACCGAAGAAACAACTTCCATTAGTATTTTTTTTTTTCCACCGTGGTTGATGGGGGGCTCCAAGAGCAGTCTGTAGCCGGTTGTAGGGGAAGGGGATGTCGGTGGTGGGGGCGGTGTTGTTTCCACTCCTATCGCGGCGCGAATTAGAATCAAACCGACTAGTGGAAGAGGTTTGGAAAAGTTCAAAGGCAGGAGAGAAAGTCGGGGAAAGCTGCGTGGAGGAAGCGGGACTTTGGAGGGTTTCTGGATACAATGTAGTGCCACCGCTACTATTGGCTGCTGATTGTTTCGTGGAATTTCTAGTTGAAAGGTTTCGGTGAAGATCCAGTGGAGTGTCAGTTCCTGAAATCGGGGTGTTTTGTCAATCGACAGGCATCCGTGGGGCCCCAAGATGTGCTGGGCGTTGTGCCAGGAGCTGGGGGATACAAAGTTACAAAGTTAAAAACAAAACAGCCTTTGCCCCCAAAGAGTTTACATTCTATGGAGAAACAATATGTACACGAAGAAGTAAAGGGAAAATAGCCTAAGTAAATACAAAGTAATGGGGAAAAGTTGAGACAGGTCAGAATTGGCTTGGTAACAAGGCCTTGTACATCTTTTGAGTTTTGAGAAGCAGACCTGTAATTTCTTTGGGTTGAGGAACTTGGCGGGGGGGGGGGGGGGGGGGGGGGGGG